TTTTAGCAGAGACAGTGATAGTTTCAGGAATACAGCTTATGAGAGAACATAACTGTTAATCGTTTAATTTCGCTAAGTCATCAATAATTTACCATTTCTTGGCGACTTCAAAGGGGGGGGGGGGGACTAACGGCTTCTTGACCACCTCTGACAAAACAACCTCGACTGTGTTCTACATGTGTCCAAGAGACCTCTCTTTGAATGTCACGGTCGGTTAAACTCGGTCATATATTTTTAATCGTAGGGAAGATTTATTCATCAAATAAAAATCATATACATTGTAGGTAAACAAAAAGCAACCTGTTATTTTGGTGTGTTCCCGTTTTGCACACATTTGTAATTAGATATAGAACAATAGGTGTGAAGTGTGTTTTGATAACAATTATAGTCTGATTTATGGTTTGGATTTACCTGTGAATACCTGATTTAGCTTAATGTATTCGTAAAGTGTTTAATACAATTTTATAAACATTTTATTAAAATTCTATATATATTTATGGGAAAATATTTGGTTTTATTGAATACAATATTAATATTTATTTATTTAATATTATTGATTAATTTAGTCCAATTTCTTTAAAAAAAGAATAATTTTCAATCTAGATAAATGATTTCAATAAATATAACAAATAGTAAAGAAAATAGAGAATAAAAATTAATTTGAAAATAATGCCCAAGCCAAGAAGATGTTAAGATCATCAGATAATTTCACCTATTATTTCATGTTCATGTATTTATTCTATATTTTCACTATAAGTTTACCTTCCACATACTTAATAAGTATGGTATAGACTATAGCAATTAAGTAATTATTTCACCTGGTCAAATTCCCATTTTCACACATTTTTTAATTACCTGTAATTAAAATGTGTGCAAAACGGGAACAAACCGTTATTTTCTGGTTTGAACATATTTTATTGTTTTGATGTTACAACAAAAGGATTGTTATTTTCTAACACAATATAAGACTACAAGTAACTAGAATTCATGTTTTTAATTTTCAAACACATTTTTTCATTATAGATGAGTACTAGGAAAAGTTATTGCCATGAGTGATACGTATCATAGATAAAATATCTAAAAGAAAACTGTGACATATTGTCTAGAACCAATCAGATAGTGCGTTGTATTAGCATATTATAATGAGGTATAAGATAGCGATATAAAAAATATTGAAGGTGAAGAGGTAAAATTTACCCTGTCTATCAAATAGTATAATAAAGAAAGGAAGTGGCTACGATTTTTATGAAATTTTAATGTCCGATGAGGAATTACATTCCCAAAAAGAGACAAGAGTTTCCAAGGCAATTGAACACTCCATTATTTCAGTTTGTTCATTAACATGTTCATAAACGTAAAAACTATAAGAAATGTGAAAACTTGACTATGTAATGCATATTTCAATATGACTGTACCTCGATCTATATTGAGAAATTCAATGTATTTTAACTTCATGAAAAGATGTACACAATTGACTTTTATTTATAACCCCCCCCCCCCCAAAAAAAAAAACAACAACAAGAAAATCCTGTTCATATGACTTCTCGCTCTCAATTTTCACACAAATGTATAAAATAAAGGTAAAATAGTATATCTTGTATCGATTAAAATGCAACCAAAAAATTTACGGTGTCTTTGAATAAAAATTTCATGCTAAATTGACATAAAAAAAAAAAGATACTCACCTTCAATTAGCTATTTTCAAACTGTTTTCCCGTGGGTATTTATTTCATCTTATTTTATTTTCTTCTTTATAATAACGTTGGTATTCTATTATTCCAGAGATATACAATTATGACTCGCTTATACTGTACTCGCTAACTGTTAGGAATAATTTATATTTCACGTGAAAGGGACGCCATACATTTTTCAGTAAAAATACATAACACGGCGATAGTCGTTTAATTTATTTAAAATTTAACGTTTTGTGAATAGTGCACAATTTAGAAAATTAAGTATATGGAATACTTTAATGGGAAATAAAGACAAACGAAGTGTAGTTATTTGTTTTTAGAAATTATATTGAAAAATAATAACGCCATTGTGTCCTCTTTTTTACCCCAGCAGTGTTTGTCGTGTGATTTTAAACTTATTTGACAACCTCACCTTATGAATTAGGTTTAATGAAAATAAATCCACAAGATAGTGATGTACAAGTAACAGTTACTTGCATAATGCGCCGTTGCTTTATTCTTTAGTTTTTATAGAAAGTTGCACGGAATACCCGATTTCGCGGATTAAACTATACCCTAATATCGAGTATTATACGCGATTTCACGGATAATACCCGATTTCGAGTATTCTCTCCGACCTGTTCAAGTTTGAATTATGAGTATTCTCTGTGATACAATTTTCTGCTGTCATGAATTAAAATTTCTTTTTGGACAAATATTTTGCATGGGAACCAGGACTATATTTTTGGGGTCAGATTAGCAAATGAAGCACCAATGTGACTTTAAGGTTTCACCTAAGGTCAACATGTGTAAAAAATCATTTTTACAATAGCTCCAAAACTATGTGTGGTATAAAGGCAAAATGTTTAAAGTTTATAAATACATGTATATCATTGATTAATAGATAGAAAGTATCACTTGATAACAAATATTTTGAAAAACATATTTTCTGATAAAAATTGTGTCAGAAAATGTGCATATTTAAAGAGAAATGCACCTGCTTAATTCTGTTCTTTTTGTAAAAACTATAATATTGCAGAAATAATATATGTTTATCATTGAAGGGCAAGTTGGACGTGAATGGTCTCTGAAAGGCTGTTATTGAAAGCATGACATGTATAAAGAGAAGACCCCTGTAGAACCCGCCATTTGCAATGTACTTTCGCTTTCAAGTCTTAACATTTGGACAAAATAACCGGGGAAAACAACTTTCCAGAGGCTATCCAAGTCCAACTTGCCCTTCATTGATAAACATATTTTGTTTCCGCAGTGATGGTTTTCACTAAAAGCACGAAATTAATTAGGAACATTTTCTGAAAAAATATGCATGTTTAAAAAGATTTTTTCTCATTTTTTTTATCAAGTGATACTTTCTATCTGTTAATCAATGAAAAATTTATAAAAAGTAAAAGTTTTAACTTTATAACTCACATAGTTTTGGAGTTATTATAAAAATAAATTTTTGGACATGTTGACCTTTGATGAAACCTTAACTGAAAAATCAGCTGAATATTAATGAGAATTGCATTATGGCGTATCGGTCGCCATTGCATGAGCTGTAATTTTTGCAGTAAACTATGATAAAATGTATTAATTGTTATCCCCCCCCCCCTCTAGCCACCCATTTCTGTTGAAAATCATGAAAGTCTTTTAGAAAGGTCAGGTCTGGAAACGCATTTTTCACAGGACATGTTTTCAGAAGAAAACAGACTATAGCAATTTCCTGTTTACTGCCAATTTTATTTATAAAACCGGTTCTACTCTATAAACTTTGAATAGGTAAACCTAAACCACGTGTCTTGAATTTGAATCACAATAACATTAGTAGAGGTGACAATGAAGAGTGTCTAGACAAATGGGATCTTCAGATATAGCGAGAAACCGAACAAAAACGGCGGAAACATTTCTTTTACGAATTGTGTTCAGCTTTTAGCTCTAGAATTTAATCTTGAAGCATGTGTTATCGTATTATTGCCCTAATAAGATGAGAACTAATTAAAATTGTTCAAGGTGTATTTGTAATTAGTGGTGTATTTTTTTTTTATTTTGACCCCCTTTCAAGACTCCAAGATAGCAGTCCCATAGTTTCCACCAGGATATCGACAATTTCTGGCCAAAATTGTTGCTGTTGTGTCTCCAAACAATATAACTGCTATTCCTTTTTCGTCCAAAATGACCGTCTTTCCGTCTCCATCCACAATTACAGTCCTTCCGCTCATAAAAGCGACTATTTCGATTTAAGCCCAAGAAAGGAGACATCACTTCTTACCAGGACTTTGGACCTGCCGCCCGACGACAGATGTGTGCACTTTTTTATTATTATTTATCATGTTTTCATTGATTTATTTATCTATTAATTTAATTTCTTTCTCCGATATCATTTAATCACATAACTAACAGACTGTGCTGTATCTACACAACCAACACTCTCTCTCCTCTCGCCCAGGACTGGTTATTGTATCAAGGGATTTAAGTACCTCACCCAAGACCTGTATCATTTTAGAAACGGAACAATAGCCCGAGGAGATAGGACCCCGAGAAAAGATACCCGGTAGTGAAAAAAAACATACCAAATTGGTAGATTCTAACTATATACACATATTATTACATTTTTATTCCTGTAAATACCTGGTGTTTTTTAGCACCCACCCTGGCTACTTCAGAACAAGCTAAACAGGTCTCATCATGGCTGTTACTTTCCATAAAGTACCCGAACACGAGCTCTCAGGTAGATAAAATTGCTAATAGAGAGGATCCCAATAGGATAAAGACCTAAATCTATTATTACAGAATAAGGATATCTTAAGGAATAAATTAAGTTTGTTAAATTATCATTAACAGATATTTTAACAACTACCTAATTTATTTAGTTTAATTAGTATTAGAAATTAAAAAATAAAGCGCATGCATGTAAGAATGGGGCTTTCTGACTGAAATACAATGAACATTTAATTTGTAGAAAATGTTATGATATACTTATCAAATCTTTTCCATGTGGCTAAAGTCACATAGATAACGTATATAAGGTCAGCACTATTAACAGAAAGAACTAGACTTGAAATGCATACGGGATTATTTCTTTTCATATTGGTCCAATTTCTCTATCTCACTGTTAATGGCCATGTTGGGGAAACACCTAGTACCAATACACACTTGAAGGCGGTGATGGAGAAATTAGAGGAACTCCAGACGACCGTACACCTCCAAAGTGATCGAATTTCTAAGTTAGAGAAGCGGAACCGTAACCTGGAAAAACTTAAAGCCAACGATCTCCACAAGAGGGAAAACAAGCAAGATAAGCGGATTTACATTCTAGAGAAACAGTACTTGCGTTTTGAAGAACGTTTGAAAAAACAATCCAAGAAAATATTATCTGTGGAAACGCTTGAGAGGGCCATTATGAAAAAGATGTCTGGGTTACTGAGTAGACAAAACGTCCAAGAAAAACTGTACAGAAATCTGAAAGATCGACTTCAAAATTTTATGCACTCTCAAGAAGAAAATCCCGTTTTTGCTAAGGCCCTCAAGCAACACAAAGAAAGTTTGATAAGAAGAGGTAAAATACGTCGATAAACTGCCAACTTACGTTACATCACATTTATATCACTTGAAGAAAATTTTGATTTCTATTTACTGCATTTATTTCTTCTCAGAGCGATTGCTTGTTCCTGTGACAACTACTGCGTCACTCAGCAACATTGTTGCGTTCTATGCGTATTTATCAAAGGATGTTCCATCCCCCAGCGGCCACCATATCCTCACGTTTGATAACGTAATCACCAATGCAGGAAATGCTTACCATCCCCACTCTGGTACATTTATAGCGCCCCGATCTGGGTTTTACGTTTTTACATGGACTATAAGAATATTTGGAACAGCACATCACTCAACAGAACTGTTAGTCAATAACAATGTCGCCGGATCGACGTATCTTGATCCAGCTAATACTATTGATGGCAGTGTTACCGGTACCGTTGTGGTACATGTTGACCAGGGAGATGATGTTTTGGTAAGAACTCTGGACCGGTATTACAGGGGTGATATAATAAGCAGATTTGAAGGACGATCATCCTTTGCAGGATGGGCTTTAGCTTAAATCAAGTGCATAAAAATAAATGAATATTACCTTGTTTTAAGTAGAACGTTTCATGCTTCTTTACTTTTACATAAAAAATATGCTGTAGGCAGTGTAACTTTTTTTTCTCTAGTCATGACTTTTATCGTGTTATACTTTGTTAAAGGTTCATCATCCTTTCTTTTGATTCTATTTGGTTCATAATAATTTTCCAATAATTATCAATTTCCATTTGAGAAACCTCTCTTATTAGAGGGCCAAGCCTTATCAAATTACAATTCACGCAATATCAAAACTTATTTACTAAATAAGTGTTAGCACAATACGTAAAGAGTATTTAAACTGGCCTTAAGACCGTAAGAAGAAAACATGACGTGGAATCATTTTAATATTCATGGAGACAATGTTTAAATTTAAATGAGTAGCTTCCCTTAACATTTACGAATTTATCGGGAAAAATATACCCATTGGGATATAGCAAAATATTATGACACAACAGGTAAGTTTTTTGTGTTCAAGAACTGTTAATCATTGTTTGAAAAGGTTGGTAATGACACGACAATATATGAGAACTTATTTTCTCGTTAGGCCATTTGAATTTCAGCAACGTTAACGTTTTTGTGATATATTCATACGCACTGTTTTTGATGCGTAAATTTCATAGTAAAGTAAAAGGAAGTTTCATTTTATTGATTAAAAATCATAATTAAATGATGAGAAATAAAGGTAATATTTTTTCCTTAGATCGAAGTATCGAAGAAAAAATTGAACGGAAAACGTTTTCATCAATGGGCGTACGTTTTCCGTCCAAATTTTTTCTTTGATACTTCGATCACAGGAAATAATATATCATTCATTTCTTAAATCACTAATGCTGGAAATGCCTATCATGCCCACACTGGGTGATTTATAGCGCCTCGATCTGGTCTATACGTGTTTTCATGGACAAGAAGATTGCTTGGATAAGCATATCACTCAAAAATATTGGTCAATAATATTATTTTTTGATCCAGCTAATACTATAAATAGGTGGCAGTGTCACCGGTAGCGTTGTGGTACATGTGAACCAGGATGATGTTCTAGTAAGAACTCCGGACTTATGGAATGCTGGTGATATAATAAGCAGAAGTGAAGGTAGATCCTCTTTTTGCAGGATGGGCTTTAGCTTCCAAATAAAGTAATCTTACCTTATTTTTCAGTAGAAAATTTCATGCTTCTTTAGTTTTACAATAAAAAAAGATATCATAGATAGCTAGTGTGACTTTTTTTCTCACTCGCGGCTTGTATTGTGCTACACGTTGCTAAAGATTCATCAGCATTCCCTCAATGTTGGAGTAATTCTCTTGTGAATGAAGCTTTACAAATAACAGTTCAAGCAACATCTAAACTGAATAACTGTTAGCACAATAGATAAAATATCTATTTGTAGTTTAAAGTAACGCTGCCATCCATCACACTACCTGAATTCAGATACTTTTCGTGCTGTTACATTTTCCTGAGAACGTCATATTTTGACTTTTGTACTTGGCACATTATCATGATTATGACATTATCGAGATTATGCGGAGTCGTTTTTCCCTGCTTTGTAGGATTTAGCTGGAGAAAGTACAACCATAATTATCAGTATTTTTAATATTTTTGATATTTGAAAATTGTTCCCAACAATAAAATGATATTTTCAACCATTGTTTTCTTTAGACCAATATAAAAAATCAATACATGCATTAAATAACATCCAAAATTACTATTGGTCAGTTGTTCAATCATGCATCTGTTTTTATAAAGAATACATCACCTACGTACTAGGGAATGTTTTGCTAAACGTTCATAATTTTCCGAAATAATTATTCTCGTAACAGGGATACACAATGCCTTGTCTCTTATCTTATCCATATTTTCTTTAAAGATTGCCTGGTTATTGCATTTAAATCCACTGCATATCTCAGCTGATGTTGCCACGTTTGTAGATGTAAACAACATTCCGTGTCATCGAGTGCAAGCACTTGGCTGAAGCCGAATGCAGCCAAACGGCACATATATAGAAAAGAGAATTATTTTTAAAACATGATATTCTATGTAAGAGAAAATCACTAATAACTATTTATTTAAACATGAAAATATTGCCGTTTAGTTGTTACAAATTCTTGCAAATATCGGTAAATAGTTATTTTGAGCTTTATTTCCTTACAAGGATCAATCAGGGCGGACTCCGGCGGAGCAACTGTCATGACATCAAACCTCATTATGACCTCATTGCCATTAATATTTTTTTCATGTGTAGCCTTAACTGTACTGCGTAAAACCATGTATAATAAATGTGTATGGTAGACTAAATAATAATTTTCTGTCACCTTAAAAGATGTATCTTAAATGATTTTAATGGTCATCTATTTGGTACAATATAAAAGAAAAAGAAAAGTTAATAAATTCTTGTCAGATAATTTTCATTTATTTTCAAATTGAAATAAAAGTTTTCTGTTTGATTCCCAAATGCCACTGCATGGTTTATTTATAAACCTCTGGAATTTGACTGTATTTTCTGAAATATTGCAGTAAAAATCTGGTATCTTAAATATTTACTTCTTTATCAAATTGATTTGGAAGTTCCAATCTCTTATTCTTAAAAAAGTATTCTACCCTCTATATTTCTTGGTCAGGAAAACGAGGTTTGACTGTTTTTATTTATTTATTTAAGATAGAATGTGGGAATGGCAAAATTAAGAAATAAATTTAAAACAAAATAAAGGTATGTTGTATATGTACGAGTTGTTTTAGCTCTGAGCCAGGCTCGCCTAATTCTCCCATTGACTACAGTTCCAAGCAATACCAGTTTATGTCGGTGGCCAACGCAACGGCAGTCGGAAAGGCAAAGATGCTCACAGTAGCTTACAAAGGTATATACAGATATCTCATTCTAAAACTCACAGTAGCTGACAAAGGGACCCATACAGATATCTCATTCTAGCTGACAAAGATATCTAATACAGATATCTCATTCTAAAACTAAGAGAAGCTGACAAAGGTATATACACAGATATCATCCTAAAACTCAGAGTATCTGACAAAGGTATATACACAGATATCATTCTTAAACTAAGAGTAGCTAACAAAGGTATTTATAAAAATATCGCTCAAACACTAAGAGTATCTGACAAAGGTATTTATACAGATATCATTATAAACCAAAGAGTAGTTGACAAAGTATTTGTATAGATATCACTCTAACACTATGAGTATTTGACAAAAGTATTTACACAGATATCATTCTAGTCTTAGAGTATCTGACAAAGGTATTTATATAGATATCATTCTAAAATTCACAATAGCTGACAAAGGATAACATTCTAAAACTCACAGTAACTTGACAAAGGTATCTATAAAGATATTATTTTAAAACTCACAGTAGCTGACAAAGGTATTTATACAGATATCACTCTAACACTAAGAGTAGCTGACAAATGTATTTTAAAAATATCATTTTAAAACTCACCGTAGCTGACAAAGGTACCTACAAGGTACCTACAAAGATATCATTCTAAAACTCACTGTAGCTGACAGGAATATATAAAGATGTTATTCTAAAACTTGCAGTAGCTTTCAAAGATATCTAAAATAGTAGCTGTCAAAGGTATCTAAACAGATATCATTGTAAAACTGACATTAGCTATTATGACATCATTCTAAAACTTGTAGTAATTGACAAAGATATCTACACAGATATCACTGTAAAACTGCCAGTAGCTGACAAAGGTATCTATACAAATATCATTCTAATACTCAAAGTAGCTGACAAAGATATCTAAACAATTATGATTCACAATAGCTTGCAAAGGTTTCTAAACAGAAATCATTGTAAGAATGACATTAGCTATTCTGATTTTATTCTAAAACTTGTAGTAATTGACAAAGATATCTACACCGATATCATTCTAAAACTGCCAGTAGCCAGCTACTCAGGATAAAATATCTATAAAGACTCGCAGTAGCTGACAAAGATTTCCTAAACTCACAATGGCTGACAAAGATACCTGTTAATTTGTTTAATCTCTCTCTCTCTCTCTCTCTCTCTCTCTCTCTCTCTCTCTCTCTCAGAATTCATTCAAAATATGTACCAATTGATAATCTACTCTTCATACATATTTTCAATGTTTACATGTACTTGTTATTGTACCTTGACCTATGGAGAGAACGATCATAGGCAGTCAGGCCTGCTGTTTAATCCATTTCTATGTATAAAATATATTTTAAACTAAAGATATCATTCTAAATCTCTCTGTGTCTAACAAAATATCTATTCAGATATCATTTATAAACTAATAGTGGCTGATATACAGATATCATTCTAATACTTACATTAGCTTAGAAAGATAAATGTCAAATCACTAAAATATAACTTAGTTTTAATAGTTACTTCACATATATTTTATCTTATTAAATGAAGTCAACACACTGATAACATCTAACACAAACAAAAAAAATAAATCAAACATTTAATTGCAAGCAAAGGAGACTTTAAAATTCAATCACAATTTTTAAACAGCTGATGAAGATCAGTTAACACATGCTGAAATCTCTCGTGATAAAAAAAGTAAGTATGGAATGTACACAAAACTTATTGAATTCTGCACAACATTACTAACTTTTACGAAAACTTTCCTAAAACTTACACAAACCCAAGGTATCCCAACACATACTGAACACACAGACTGGCACTTGCTGTTGAAAGTATTTTAATAAAAGTAATCAAACTTGATCTTTCATTATGGGCCTTTCTTGTATCATAGAATGCTGATTTATAACTAATATTTTTGATAAAATTCTGCACAAATGTACCGGTATATTTTTCAAAAGAGCCACTTTGAAATTCACATGTTTATTTGAGTGTTTAATTTTTTATGCACATATGTGTATCATGTAAAGGTACATATATAAAAAGCAAATATTTTTTAAACAAACTTCTCTTTTCATTTTGGGATTTTTGATAGATGTAATGACTCAGTTAGAGTGACAGAAAGAATATGTGTTCACTAAATGACCAGTTACATGTACAAAAACATTTTTTTAACATTAACTTCTCTTTTTTTGTTTTAGGATTGATAGATGCTTCAAAGAGAGGTGATTTAACAAAGGTGGGTAAATTACAATATTTATGGGTAAACAGGTATCACCTTGTATTATTTGTCACAGTTGATTGATTATATACTGATTATTTTCACAGTTCACTGATTTTTATAATTTTTATTCACAGTTGGTTGACTTGTTCTGTAATCAGGATGCGGACCTTCTAGCGACTGACCAATATGGCATGACCTCACTGCACCATGCTGCACGATTTGGACATAAGGGCATTGTCAAATATCTCATAGATAATGGTAAGACACTTAATTCTAATTAAAAATAAAAAGATACCTCATTGATAACAATAATAAGGAAACCTAAAAAAAAAAAAAAAAAAGAGCTAAAACATTAAAGAAAATACTAGTATCTCAGTGTTATATTTTTCTTTACAGCGCCCCCTGTCATTTTGGATATGGTGGACTATGAGAAGTAAGTGAGGGAGTCAATGTTATAGATGACTGAATTTTTCACTTATGAATAGCAGTAAACAGAATAAAAGATTCAGATTGCTTTCATTTAAAAATATCATAACTGTATTCTTGCAGAACCTAATGCAATATAGAATGATAAGAAAATAAATTCTATCATCTGAACTCAAACAGAATTGTACCTATTGCATTGTTCCCCAAAAAAGGATATACTGAAACCCTTTCCTACTGAGTGATTTTATACAATGGTTTGCTTGACTTTGAACCTCTTGGATGATTTTGTCATTGACTTACTTCCAGAGGACAGACAGCATTACACAAGGCAGCGTGGTACCAGAGACGGACGATCTGTTACATGTTAGTGGAGGCCGGCGCCTCCCTCACACGTACTGACTACCAGGGGAACACTCCGCGGCTACAGGCACTGAAGGCCGACGACAAAGAGCTGGCCGCTTATCTAGAAAGTAGGTCACCCACTCAGGGGAGTCATGTAATTCATTCTATTTCATTTAAATTTTGTATAGACTTTGATGTAGCATTATGATCTGATTTTAAATCTTGTTCAAAACTTGTTCTCTGTAAATGGGCCAGAGGACAAATTAGTTGTAGGTTAGATATTTTTACAAGTGATTCATTTCTTGTTAATTTATCTGTTGGCAGACAAAAGCATGACTTAGTAGGTAAAGTTCCTAGCTCCAGTATCATATCTACTACAGGCTGATCTAGAACATTACTATACAGACACTACACTGCTAATTTATACATAGAGAACCACCCCCAAAATGTAGTGCTAGATGTAGATAGACTAAATGTATAAAATCGATTCTCCTTTGCTATCATGGTGAAGAAATGCAGAAAAAAAATCGAAAATTAGCAACACACAGAAATCCTCATTCCAAATTCGATTTCAATACCATTATTTATTTTAAATTTCATTATGCTGTGACAAATTACATAATCATGTATATCTGATGTCAATCATTAAACTTCAGCCTTATTATTGAAGACAGTTAGAAAATATGTAAATTAAGTGTCATTATATTTTGTTTTATTCAGGTCAAGAGGAAGAAATGAAAAAAAATAAATAAAATTCTCTTGTCCTTTTTTTGTAGGTCAGAAGCATTTTCAACTGGTTGTGTCAGAGGATCAGGAAAGAGAGCACCAAATCCCCGGATGAACACATGGCTTTGTTTGTTATGGAACATTAAACCGAATACTGAATGGGTAGGCGTTACGCCATTGGCTGAAATCAGGTATTTAATTGTTTTCATTTTAAAGTAAAATTAATGACCTTTGAAATAAATGATGGGATGAGGGAATATTACAGAAACTATAGAAATACCAGGGAAGATTTTAGGAGTGGGGGTTGATTTTTTATGCCGCGTGTTATTTACTGCGAATCTCTATAAGTTGAAAATAACTGCAATTTTGACCTATAAACGCCATGGGACCATATATTTTTTTCAGTATATTTTGTTAGGGCTTAGAACAAAGTTTGAAATGATGCTAAAGATTTTTCTGAAATTGTCATAGTAAAGTACTGAGAGGGCCTAAGGTTTGTATGGAGTTCTATGGGAAAATAATTAGTGGTCTTTTCCCTATAGAGACCCCAATTTTTACAATTTAAAGTGATTTGAAAGTCATGAAATGTTATTTTTTGCTAATTATTTGAAGATTGATGACATTTCGAGAGAAAATTTAGCAAAAATTTGAATTAGTTTACTGCGGTAATGGGGTTAGAGGTGATTTGGGTCTTTTAAAGAGAGGAGGGGGGGGGGGGGGTAAGAGAAGATAGAAATTAGTAAAGTCCTGTACAGTTGACATGGTCAAAGGAGGAAGGTAAGTTAAGAAAATGTATTAAATTGTTCTTAAGATGAATGATTGTATGTATGCATAGATTTATGTATGTATTTTGCATGTACATGTGACTATGTATTTATTATGTTTTGCTCTATCTGTGTATATTATGGAAGTGTAGGACAGTGACCTGGTGTTCATTTTTTTTCATTTCCTAGACTTTTGCACTTTTAGCAGTTTTTCAAATAATTAAGGTGGCACATAAAAGGAATTTTTGTGACGGACAAGTGAAAGGAGGATATTTTCTGTCTTGTCATCTCATGTTTGGTAGTGTATGTGTTCCTCTGGATTGCCCCCCCCCCTTTCTTGGCTGCAGGGTGATCAGTTTGTAGTTTTTTTTGTTTCTATGTTGTAGCTACACAAAGGTCTATGTTTTCTCTTTTTTCGCTCTTCGTAGTTTCCTCAGAATTACTCGCTGCGACTCACTTTCTAATGGTTTCTAGTTTTTGTACTTAGAGTTACTTCCCTTAGACCTGCTGACCAGACAGGTGGAATTTCAACATGATGATATCTTAACAGTTGTGACCTTTGGCTTCTGATTTTTTTTCATAAATTATTGTAATGACCTTGAACTGCATGTATGACATTTGAGCTTTATTATATTCACATGTAATATTATGTAATATTGAAAAAACATGTATTCCACCCTTGGCGGATCCATTTTTCATACATTTAGCTATGTAGAAGACATGTAATTAAGGAAATTTTTATAAAACTTGAAAAATATTGTTGTTTCTTTCATGATTTATGCTTAATTTGACTAATTTTATTGATTTATTTTCATTTAAGCACTTTAGAGGAATTTCATCTTTCAGCTTTCTTGGCCCCGGGAGTGTTCGGTCTCTGATCAGCAGGGGCATTTTCTCTACATAAGAAGAAAATGGAGATTCCATACCCACCTGATGTATTTTGTCGGACAGTTTTCTGTACTTTGCAGGTCATTTTTTTATTTATTAACTTTCCAGCCTCTTATTGTATAGTACATTTTGGGGGTTGAAGTCAGTTTTTGCTTTTCTTTAATTTTTAAAAAAAATTATTTAAATTCTCCTTTTCTTAGCATAAAATTCAAAAAGTAGCTTCTGATTGTAATGTATAAGACTACAGACATTGAACTTTGATTTGTTATCAAAAGGATTGATTTAAACTTGTCTAAATTAATTGTAAACAAAAATAAAAGGGGGCACCTGTTATTTCTTTAAGTGTTTTTTACTGGGGGGTGGGGAAACTTTTTTGTACATACTTAAGCAATAGGAGGGATTAGATAAGAATCAATTAGTATATCAGAGTCTTAAATAATTTACTTTGCATAAGCATAAAAAAATTCTATATCAGTCTTTTTAAAACCTTTGAATTTTGCTTAATTAACTATGATTTATCCAATTTTGGAGCTTTTTACCTAATTCTGGGTAGAATCCACCCTTATGAAATTATTGACTCAATTTTGACTTCATATCACTTTATTAACATTAAAACACAAAAACAATTCATTGTACAAATATTTTATTTATTACAGTCTCCAATATATCCAAATATCATCACCGCCCCAGACGTCATTCACTCCATTGAATTGTGCTGGAAGCAGTAAGGTGTCATCATTTGAGATGGTCACAGTATCCAATACACTGAAGTCACAGGACTCAAATTTCATACATGTTCACAGGTAGGTGTATAGTCTTTGAAATTACCACAATTGACTAATTCTGAGATAGGTAAGTATGTGAGTATAGGAAAGAGAGCACCAAATCCCCGGATGAACACATGGCTTTGTTTGTTATGGAACATTAAACCGAATACTGAATGGGTAGGCGTTACGCCATTGGCTGAAATCAGGTATTTAATTGTTTTCATTTTAAAGTAAAATTAATGACCTTTGAAATAAATGATGGGATGAGGGAATATTACAGAAACGATAGAAATACCAGGGAAGATTTTAGGAGTGGGGGTTGATTTTTTATGCCGCGTGTTATTTACTGCGAATCTCTATAAGTTGAAAATAACTGCAATTTTGACCTATAAACGCCATGGGACCATATATTTTTTTCAGTATATTTTGTTAGGGCTTAGAACAAAGTTTGAAATGATGCTAAAGATTTTTCTGAAATTGTCATAGTAAAGTACTGAGAGGGCCTAAGGTTTGTATGGAGTTCTATGGGAAAATAATTAGTGGTCTTTTCCCATCAGAAACAGCTGTTTGACTGGTTCCCCAGAAAACAGCAGTTTGACTGGTCCCCCGAGTTCCATTAAAGGCCAATACATGTGATAAAAAACCCTGAACTTGGCCCTACATTGTGATATTTCTGACAACTTTCCACTTTTTCGTGTTTTCTCCCAGTTTTGTGATGCAGTGAATGGTGTTAGTCATGAGTGGGTACTGTATAAAAGAGTGTGAGATATTTTTTTTTCTACTTTTTACCCTAATATCTTTGTCTAGGATTATTTTTGTCTTTGGATTTGATTGGTTCTCACAATTATCTGTGATATATAGGCTGTTTCAAATTTATTCACAGTTTGTGTATTCAAAATTGGATATTTGATTTCAAATTTGCAAATTATTGCTTGAATTTGAAGTTATATCACACGGATATTTGTTGATACAAGTTATTAGCAAGTAAACACTTTCTCCAGATTTTTTCATATTTGGATGTTTATTCAGTATGTTCATAATATACCATTTGTACATGTACATATGTACAGATGTAATAAATTTCTGATGTATTCTCGCTGAGAAACTTATTGTATATTTCTTTTGCTACACATATCTTTTACTTAGGTACAGATGAATTGATTTCATGTGTATTCGAGACCAAATTTGTTTTGCAGTAAAGCAGTTAGTGTATTAAATTACAATTGATCAGCAAGCTGGGTTTACTTGCTCCTCAAGCAGTGCTTGAATATGTCTTTTTTTTGTGATCATTTTTATCAACCATATCATGATTCTCTGTACAGATATATTTTACTACCTACATTGGGAAGAAAATGATGTCCATATATCTTGTTATGTTTGTTGTTATAACACAAATTGTTATTGCTTAATCCGAAAACCACACAGAAAATCTTCCATTTTTTTCACTTGAAATAAAAAAAATTGCTTATTCTCGCACATTTGTGCATAGCCATGCATAATTTATAAAGAATATTGTAAACATTTGTATTTATCTAAAGTAGTCTTAAAATTTGTTTTAGTAGTGATTTTGAAATGGAAAGAATTTTTTATAAATTTCTATAGCTCTATTGTCTTTTTTTTTTTTGTGTATTCTATACTTCTTGTAGTTACAAGTTTTGTAGTTGATTTTTTATTTGTATTATTTTCTATTATTTATGCAAATAGTTTGAGTTGGAGAAGGTCCCATTCCAAAGCAAACTATGGCAATATCACAGCATTATTTATTATGTTAATTAGATTTCTTTAACATTCCCTATGCAAAAGTTGAGCTTATTGGATTAATAACCCGTGTTTAACTATTCTCCAATACTCTTACTGGTATTTATTTGATATACATATATATGGTAATATAGACATTAACTGTTTTTCAATTTTAAAAGAAAATTGCATCAAAGAAACATTTTTCAACTCATTGGTTGCAACATTTGCAAAGAAAAAAGGAAGATCAAGTTTTTTTTCCAGAAAAAATTTCTCTTTCAGACATGCAGATATTTAGCATTTTAAGGATCGAATGATTCATTATGATCTGAAGTATTTTAAGAAACGGTTCATTATGATCTTTAACTTCATCTGTAATGCTGATGTTAATTATGTACAAAAAGTAGAATTTTAAAAAAAGGGGAGAAAATCTTATAAAAATAGACTAGTTTTTCTGTACACGTTTCATTTACTCCCTGCTTAGAAAAGGAAGAAAACAGAGATTTGAAAATGTTAACTTGTTGAGATAAACTCCGCAGAGAATATTGGAAGATTTCATTCTTTAGTTTTGTAATTTATTTCTTTTTTGAGAAGTTGTAGAAATACACTTTTTTTTTTTTTACTTTACATTAAGTCTGCAAATAAATACTGTAAAAAGAATCCCATAAAACTGTTATATTTATTGCTTAGCAGAGTCACTCATGTGATTTACTGCCATCCTCAAACTGTTGAACATTTTTTGCTTCTTCTCATACTGTAGATTCCTTATTTTTCGCGAGTACTTTTTATCACTGGGTCTTTCACGTCATATCGTGAGAATTATAATTCGCGAATGGACGGTTGATCAACAGAATTTACATAGATTTCAGGACAATGAAAATTAAAGTGAGTAATATTTTTTCGCGAGTGACGCTTCTTGCGAAATTACGCGGAAATCAATTCCTCGCGTATGATTAGGAATCTACAGTAGATTGTTGAACCAATTTTAGCCAATTCTATGGGAAAAGAGGACAGTAAATTTAATTTTCAGCTATTTGCCCATCATCATTAAAGTCCAGACTGATCCCTGTACTACTCTACGTATAAAATAGAATAGCAATTACAGGTTTTGAAAATGGTTTAATTCTGTTATCTGTATATTTAAAAAGTTAAAGTAAATCATTATGGGAGTCAGCAAGATTCCACTTCCCCTCAAGGAAGACTATTTCCCTCAGCTGCACTTCAGGGAATATGTTACCTGAAGGCTTTGCAATTTACGAAATTTGAAACTTTCTACAACAAATAATCGATAAAAAGCACAAATTTCTGCTTGTTTTTAACATTGTTTAATATACTAGGACACTTATAGAGGACAAGATTTTTGTAAGACGCCCTGAAGCGTCTGTATTGTTGCTGGTATAGTCTCAACGTGATGGAGTGTTTCAGCTCAATCTTCTTGTCAGTTGAGCATTTGAATACACTATAAAAGATACACGAGTGTTACTAGTAGTAGTACGAATCTTACGATAAACGTATTACATGTAGGGCTGTGAAGAAAGAGAAATATTATCAGAAGGCCGATAAGTGCGCTATTTGAAGTGAATAAATAATTATCGTTAACAAAAATTCGACATTTTGTAACTAACTGTTAAAAATTAAATTTTAAAGAAGCAAAGTCAGTGAAGTATTTCAAAATATAAGACATAAATGCATGAAAAAAAGCAGTACCCGGTCCTAGTCTCGGTATTATTTTAGAAAGGGTTAAACACGGGATGTGGAAAAAGGAAAATAATTGGAGAATGCGAATAACGGGCTAAGTAATTATAATGAACAGATATGTAACGTTTTATATCAACTACTTATCAAATTTTAGTGAAGCAATGTCAAAGAAGTACTTAAAAATTAACAATAAAACACATACATACAAAAAGGGCATTCTGACTGAAATAATTTATAGATAAGGTTACGATATGCTTATCAAATTTTCTCCGGATAACTTGTGACCTAGATAACGCATTTGAAGTGAGCACTTTTAACACAGGACTAGACTTGAAATGCAGACGGTAATGTTTCTTTTTATATTGGTCCAATTCCTCTATCTCCCTGTTAATGGCCATGGTTGGGAAACATTTAGTACCAGTACAGACTTGAAGGTGGTGATGGAGAAATTAGAGGAACTCCAGACGACCGTACACCTCCAAAGTGATCGCATTTCTCAGTTAGAGAATCAGAACAGAAACTTGGAAAAACGTATTGCTACCGATCTCCGCAGTAGAGAGAGCAAGCAAGATGAACGGATTTCCATTCTAGAGAAACAGTACCTGTGTTTAGAGGAACGTTTGGTGAAGCAACCCAAGGACATTTTAGCTGAGAAAAATCTTAAGGAGACCACTACGAAAAAGATATCCATGTTACTATATAGACAGAATGTCCAAGAAAAACTATACAAAGGTCTAAAGAATCGACTACAAAATTTGATATACTTTCAGCAAGAAAAGTCCTCTTTCCCTAAAGCCTTCACACAACACAAAGACAGTTTAATAAGAAAAGGTAAGATTTATAATTTATCCTGGAAGCGTCACCACATATAAAAATATAAAAAAAAAATATTTATTCACAAGAATGATATTTTTTACTGCATTTTTTTTTTCAGAGCGATTTCTTGCTCCTGCGACATCTTCTGTACCAAACGGCAATATTGTCGCTTTCTATGCGTATTTCTCAAAGGACGTCCCATCACCAAGTGCGTACCACATTCTTATATTTGATAACGTAATCACAAACGCTGGAAATGCCTATCATTCCCACACAGGTACCTTCATAGCCCCCCGAACTGGTCTGTACGTGTTTACATGGACGATCAGAATGTATGGAAATTCATACCACAGGACAGAACTGTTGGTCAATAACAATTTCGTTGGGTCAACATATTTTTATCCAGCTAGTAATATCGATGGCAGTGTTACTGGTACTGTCGTGGTGCATGTCGACCAGGGAGATGATGTTTTTCTTAGAACTGGTGAAGCATACAACAATGGTAACATTATAAGTGACATTAACGGAAAATCATCTTTTGCTGGATGGGCTTTGGCATAAAGGCGACAACTTAAATTGAATTGATAATTTTTCTTTTTTTCTAAAAGAGGACGATAATCACCTACACCTGAATGAACTGGTACAGAGGGCGAGATCTATTTATCATGAAGGGTAAGACGACCTGACCGCTGCTAATTTTAAAATTTTATTTCTCACTGTAGATGTAAAAATAACGACAATAATGAACAGCAGAAAATCTCGAAAATTCTTTAAGTTCCCGTACAAAACTTTTGAGTGGAATAGGCGTGACTAAGGCTCGACATCCGTATGCATATTCGTAAAAATCCAGATGCACAGAAATGCGTGTGGAGGCACTTAATTTTACACAAGTAGGTTTTCCATCAAACTATATATATATCTCACGAGCATGCTCAATAATAATTTCTTTTATTCAGATATTAAATAGGAGGGATTCATGGTCAAAAGATAAGAATGTTTCCTTTAATTTTATACTATTTAAAAGGATATTTAATAAATGTCATTTGAAATTGTATTTATGTCAATCGGGGATGATTTCGTCACTTTTGACCTAAACGCAGTAAGTCATATAATTATTATAATAAGTCATTTTCAATTTCCATGATCTTTCTGTATTGCAGGGTTGAGAATGAACATTTTGTTTGTTTGAATGACTTAACTTGGACTTTCGCTAAGTAATTCCTATACATTTAATTATCATCAATGTGCTCCAGAAAGTTTTAATTCTGTTTTAGATATTGCTCTTCTCTTACATGATAAACTTATAATATTTTGAATTTACTTATTTGATAAGATTTTGTACACATCCCTTTACAATTCGACATTTTCAAATAGTATAATACTATAACTAAATCAGCCTTTCAGAGACCATTCATGTCCAACTTGCCCTTCAATAATATTATGATTCAATGATGGTTTTTCACAAAAAGGACAGAATTAAGCAGGTGCATTTCTCTTTAAATATGCACATTTTCTGATACAATTTTTCTCAAAAAATCTCTTTTTTAAAATATTTGTTATCAAGTGATACTTTCTATCTATTAATCAACTTTTTACTATAATATACTTTACGATTGTAAATTATATAGTTATCCGTTTATCAACAAAAACGTTTTATATTTTAAAAGAAAATTGCATCAAAGAAACATTTCTCAAACCATTAGTTGCAACATTTGCAGAAAAAAGAAAGATGATTTTTTTTTCTGAACAAGTTTCCCTTTTCTGACATGACGATATTTTGTATTTTAAGGAAAGGTTCATAATGATCTTTAATATTTTAAGGAAAGGTTCATTATGATCTTTAGTATTTTAAGAAACGGTTTGTTATGATCTTTCACTCTATTTGTAATGCTTATGTTAATTATATATAATAAGTAGAATTTTTAAAAAGGGGAGAAAATCTTATAAAAATACACTAGGTTTTTTTTGTGTACATTTCATTTAATCCCTGTTTAGAAAGGAAGGGAAAAATTGAAAATGTTAACTTGTTGAGATAAACTCCGCAAAGAATATTGGAAGATTTCATTTTTTAGTTTTGTAATTTATTCCTTTTTTGAGAAGTTGAAGAAATACACTTTTTTTACTTTACATTAAGTCTGCAAATAAATACTGTAAAAAGAATCCCTGTTCTATTAATTGCTCAGCAGAGTCACTTAAGTGTTTTACTGCCATCCTCAAACTGTTTTTGCTCTACTCTTTTAAGCAAGCGTTAGCGCGTTATTCAGTTTGTTTGCACACACCGTTGCAGTTATGAAACTATATCAATCAAAAAATAATGATTCATTGCTTATATTTACATTTTTTGAATTTTCTACCTAACTGCAAATGTAATTTCTATTTAAAAACCTATGTATTATCTTTCGTGTGAGCTACGTTTAATGGATCAGCCAACGTAACAGCTTCTGGTCAAATTGAACGTGGTTTTTTGATTTTCGCTTGTGACGTTGCACTTCCTCGGCGTTCAACGATTATGACGTCAAATTAAAACGCATGTTTTAACCTCTTGGCACCCTGTCTGTGTTATGGTGTTTTGAATGCAATAAATTTCCATTTATTTTATATGCAAAAAATATATGTAATGTAAATATAGACTGTTGAACCGAACCAATTTTAACCAATTCTATTGGAAAAGAGGACAATAAAATTAATTTTCAGCCATTGGTCCATCAACATTAAAGTCCAGAATGACTGTACTGCACTGGGTTTTGAAAATGGTTTATTTGTGTTATCTGTAAATTAAGTCAGTGAAAGTTAATCATTATGGTAGTCAGCAAGATTCCAGGAAATACATGTATGTTACCGGAAGGCTTTGCAATTTAAGACATTTGAAACTTTCTACAACAAATGATCGATTAAAACACCCTTTTCTGTTTGTTTTTAACATTGTTTAATATACGAGGACACTTATGTAGAACATGATTTTTGCCAGACTCCCCTGAAGCGTCTGTAGTTGTACTGGTATAGTCTCAACAAATCGTCCTGTCAGTTGAACATTTGAATTTATTATACTTCTGTTAAAATGTTTCCTATATAAAGTTCAGAAGGTAAAATAGCTATCTTTTATAGTTCACGCATAGCAAAGCTATACCCCGGGGTATAGTTTTTGCTATCCACCCTCGGAAAATTTTCATGCAATTTTTGCCCCCAATTTTGATTTTCAGCGATATATCTATTAACTGATGATGTCATAAGGACTTCAGTAGCATTGTGACGTCATCAGAATTTCAGATTATACTTGCAGTGTTATCTTAAATTTATGCATTCTGTCTGTGTGTGTAACACTATCCTTTCCGGGTGATATTTCAAGAAGATTTTGAGCTTTTGCAATGTAATTGTATACCATAACTCCCAAGTACCTCTCTCACTCCTCTCAAAGTGTCCTGCCCCGTTTGTTTTATTAGTATTTATTGTATTATATGTCGCTATTTTTAGCACAGGGGTATGAAAAGAGTTATAACGTATAAAACAGGTTCTCATCGGATTTAATATTCTTATTACATCTATTAGGACTGTTTAATAAAGGTTAAATTAGACACCATGCATTGTGTATAAAATTTTGACAATATCGAACGTAAATATATAATTACATGTATGCGACTTCATCCTTGCATATAATTATTGAGAGTATATAGCAGTTCCTGGTCTAGTGGTATGTCACTCGCTTTACATGTGAGAGGACAAGGGTTCGGATCTCGGATAATCCGTTGCCTTTTTTTTCCAAAATACTTAAAATGTTTCCTATATAAAGTTCAGAAGGTAAAATAGCTATCTTTTATAGTTCACGCATAGCAAAGCTATACCCCGGGGTATAGTTTTTGCTATCCACCCTCGGAAAATTTTCATGCAATTTTTGCCCCCAATTTTGATTTTCAGCGATATATCTATTAACTGATGATGTCATAAGGACTTCAGTAGCATTGTGACGTCATCAGAATTTCAGATTATACTTGCAGTGTTATCTTAATCCAAAAAAAATCAAACCTCAAAAATTCTAATATACCGGGAAGGGTACATCAGTATAATAAAACACTTAATCAATGTTTGTGATTGGGATAGCTCTTTCATCAAACCATTGACAGGAACTATTCCCCTCGGGGAATAGTTCCCTGTCGCGGGTTTGATAAAAGAGCTATCCCACTCACAATCAGTGGATAAGTGTATATTATTATTTACTAGAAAGAATTCACGAGTTTTACCATCAATAATACAAATATTTTCAGAGAACCTTACGATAAACGTATTACATATAGGGATTTGAAGAAAGAGAAATATTGCAAGAAAGTCTACTATTGCAAGCAATAGCTCATATCGTTCCGAACTGGACAAGACTCATTTGTTGTCTCCCGCTTGAAAAGTAGGGGATATTAATTTGGGTCTGTTCGTCCGTCCGTCTGTCCGTCCGTTCGTCCGTCAGTCTTTCTGTCTGTCTGTAACGCTTTCGTTTCCACACGATATCTCTAGAACCCTTTGAGCTTTTGCAATGAAATTTTGCATAGCAACTCCCTATGGACTAAAGAAGAACTCTATCGATTTTGAGGTCAAAAGTTCAAAGGTCAAGGTCATAAATGCGGAAATTTTTCTGTCATTACACTTTCCTTTCCGCGCGATATCTCAAGAACCCTTTGAGTTTTGGCAATGAAATTTTACACAACAACACCCTGTGGCCTAAGGAAGACCCCTATTGATTTTGAGGTCAAAAGGTCAAAGTTCAAGGTCTTAAATTTATGCATTCTGTCTGTGTGTGTAACACTATCCTTTCCGGGTGATATTTCAAGAAGATTTTGAGCTTTTGCAATGTAATTGTATACCATAACTCCCAAGTACCTCTCTCACTCCTCTCAAAGTGTCCTGCCCCGTTTGTTTTATTAGTATTTATTGTATTATATGTCGCTATTTTTAGCACAGGGGTATGAAAAGAGTTATAACGTATAAAACAGGTTCTCATCGGATTTAATATTCTTATTACATCTATTAGGACTGTTTAATAAAGGTTAAATTAGACACCATGCATTGTGTATAAAATTTTGACAATATCGAACGTAAATATATAATTACATGTATGCGACTTCATCCTTGCATATAATTATTGAGAGTATATAGCAGTTCCTGGTCTAGTGGTATGTCACTCGCTTTACATGTGAGAGGACAAGGGTTCGGATCTCGGATAATCCGTTGCCTTTTTTTTCCAAAATACTTTTTTTTTTACTAAATGATGGTATTCAGCATGTGAAATGAAAAAATTATGAGGTCTGGCTTGTAAAAACTCATAAAATCATCATTACAGTGGGATAAATATTCCATATAAAAAGGATCTTCTATAGACATAATAAAGAATAAGCAATCAAATCTTTATATCCATATTGGCATATTTTATTTGCTTCAGTATACATGTATACATTTAGTAATTTTTCAAATTCAGTCAGGGGGATCCGACCCCACCCCCCTCCCCCGAACTGCGCATGGTTTACCTTTTCCCTAAGCGGGGGACACAAATTTTCTGAATTAGCTTGTCATCACTAAAAC